TGCTGCTTTCACGTTCCACAGTCTTGTTCTTGTTAGTGTCGGTTTTAAATATGATTTTTAAGCAAACGCTCACCTCCAAAGCAGCTGAAACGCCACACGTTTTGCTCTGTGTGATCGAAACTTCTAACTCACCTTTTTCTTTTCCAGCTTGTACTTCCAGAGTACCTCATCCATGCATTCTTCTGTGTCATGTTTCTCTGTGCAGCAGAGTGGCTCACACTGGGTCTCAATATGCCCTTGTTGGCCTATCATATTTGGAGGTAATTTTGGTGTGGCTGTGCTCAGTGAGTTGTTCTCGTTCTCCCGTTGCCGTGTTCCTGTCCCGTGTTCCGTGTCTTGGGAAAACAAAGACGCTTTTTGACACGACACCATGAAAGTTTATGGCTGCACAATAAGAACCATCACTTGGCTTCGTTGGGTGTTTTTTATTTTTTATTTTCTTGTGCTGTGCGAGAGTTGTGTTGTGTGTCCTGGTATTCCTTGGTGGGTGGGGGGCAGGATCCAATGTTTCCCATGGCCCTCATCCCACACCTCCCTGTGCCCCCGTTCCAGGTACATGAGCAGACCCGTGATGAGCGGCCCGGGGCTCTACGACCCTACGACCATCATGAATGCAGATATTTTAGCCTATTGCCAGAAAGAAGGATGGTGCAAATTAGCATTCTACCTTCTATCCTTTTTTTACTACCTATATGGGTAAGTTTTTCCCCTCAGTCTGAAGTTTTGGCTCAGTGCACCAGAGAAATATTGTACATAGGGATATATTCCTTCCACTGCCTGAATGGAGCCTACAGGAGAGCTGGAGAGGGACTTTGGACATGGGCATGGAGTGATAAGACTTGGGGAATGGCTTCACACTGACAGGGAGCAGGGTTAAATGGGATACTGGGAAGGAATTCTTCCCTGTGAGGGTGGGGAGGCCCTGGCACAGGTTGCCCAGAGAAGCTGTTGCTGCCCCATCCCTGGAACTGTCCCAAGGCCAGGCTGGACGGGGCTTGGAGCAACCTGGGCTAGTGGAAGGTGTCCCTGCCCACGGCAGGGGGGTGGAACAAGATGAGCTTTAAGGTTCTTTTCAACCCAAACCCTTCTGGGATTCTGTGAATTTAGCAGAGACTCTCCCAGTGCCTCTGGCACAGCCCAGCCAAGGTCACCTTCCTGCACAGCTCTAAAGACTCGTCAGGAGCAGCAAAAGCACAGAACTCCTCACCCACTTCCCCCCTTGAAGCCCCAGCAGACAGCAGGGTGGGGGGGGTTGGTTCAGTCTTTGATACACAGGATGAAAAGATCCCTGGACTTGCAAGTCCAGACTGGCAAATATCCTTTCCTGCAGCACTGATTGATTCACTCCCAGAATCCCTGTTTAGGCTCTCCCGTTATGTAATGACCACATAAACAAATTAACATTATAAATTCATTTGCACTGGAAGTGTCCAAGGCCAGGTTGGACGGGGCTTGGAGCAACCTGGGATAAAGGAAGGTGTCCCTGCCCATGTTGGGGTGTAGAACTGGATGATCTTCCAGGTCCCTTCCAACCCAGACGTTCTGTGACTCTGTGATAAGGTGTTGATACAGTGCCAACTTTCCCGAAAAAGAATCCACAATCACCATTAATTCTGTTTCAAACACAAGTCTTAATTTGGTCAGAATTACTATTTTGAGTCTGTATCCCATGACTGGAGACTAGAAAGCTTGAAGCTTTTCTTTTAAGCATAATATAATAAACCCTCAGAGCATTTCCATCAAGAAGCTGAAACATTAATATTTTTAGAGTAAAGTGTTTGATGTAAATGTGAATTTTGTTGAAGAGTCATTGTGTCAAATCTTCAGTCACAATCCATGTATCTCACATGAACTTGTTCCTTAGAATATACATTAAATGTGTAACACTGATCAAAGTGATGCATGTTCATATTTTTATTTTCTTTTGCAGCATGATTTATGTCCTGGTGAGCTCTTAAGAAGACACTCAGCAAGCTTTGTTCCAGTTAAGTGCATGCAAAAGCCACAAAAAAACCATGGATTCTTTACAACAAGAACCTCTGACCAAGAATTAAATCCGGAACCCGACGATCGCAATTGCGTTAGAAAACAATGACTCCCCTATTTTTAAAATGTTTCCACATTTTATACTTGTGGAAAGACTGTTTTCTTATATTTTCCTGGGACGCTGAAATTAAAGAATTACGTGTAAATTAATATAAAGGTGACTGGGGTTTGGAAAGTTTTGACTTTGCACTGCATAAGGAACAGCCATAACCTTGGAGTAGCTGTTGGTTACTACTAGCCTTAGGACACTAGGGATTTGCTTTAGGCTGGGCTTTGTAGTGGCTCACTTGGACTTGTGTATCCCACTTTTAACTCTAAATCAGCCGTAGCTCTGAGTGCTTGGGAAGCACTGGAATGCTGTGTTTTGCCCGTAGGTGACGTTGGTCTTAGGATATGAATTCACGGACACAATTGCAAAAATAGTTCTCTTTTGGTTTGGTTTGGTTTCTTTTCTGTCTGGTTAGTCTTTCCCTTTCTGTGCATGGTCCAGGTCCTTCTGTATCTCTTCCAAACATTAGCCCTGCTTTTTAATCTCGAGCCTGTGTCATTGTGGTAGGAGAAGCTGAATTGTCCACGGAGGAATGAATTTAAATAATTTTTTTTTTAAATGTCTGTGCTGTCTGAATAACAAATGGATAAACCTCCAACATTTACCAAGTCCAGTAATGAAAACACTCTTGGGTTTAAGAGTAATAAATACTCCAGACTTTCTCAAAGCAGAAAGTGAGATTGTGAAACTGCCCCACTGTTCCTTAGTGCAATAAATGACAATAAAAAACAAATCTCAAATTCAGCAAAACTCCTTTCATCTGGTGCCTTGTTTTGTTTTTAAATTCAGCAGATCCTTGCTGTGTCCATCGCTCAGATTTACATGGATAATATTCTAAAAACAGAACATGGAATCAAGTTATGTCTGGAAAAGGGAAGCTCTCATTTCCTGCCTTTTTTCATGAAGTTTAAATAGTAGATGGGGCAGGGGAAGATGTTTCACATAAATATTGTAAATTGTGACTGCAAACAGCTGCTTAGTTTACAAGTAATAATTAGGAGTCTTTCTCATTTACCTGTGCTGGAGAACAATGCAGAGTTTCCCAGTTCTAGTAAAACTTTTTTTTTTTTTTGTATAAACTGTGTATTTGTTCACTTTGGGTCTCTGGGGTGTCAGAGGCAACAAAAGTTGTACCAGTGTTTGCACTGGGGTCCACCAGAAATCCAGGTATTCCAGTATTGGTGTGCTGGGCAGTGGCAACAGCTGAGGAAGAACAGTGTGAGACAGGGCAGGTGTTGAACATCTCTGCCTGAGGAGTGAGAGAGCGTTTGGAAATTTGTGTGTTACAGGTGTCCTGGGAGAGCTTTGGCATCTCAAACAGCCCTGAAGGGCTTCTCTGCCATCAGTTCAGTTGCTTTCTGAGCACTTTTATAACCTGGCGTGGAAGATCCCAGAACCTCAGAATGGTTTGGGTTGGAAGGGACCTTAAAGACCATCCAGTTCCAACCTCTGTCACGGGCAGGGACACCTTCCACTAGCCCAGGTTGCTCCAAGCCCCGTCCAACCTGGCCTGGAACACTTCCAGGGATGGGGCAGACACAGCTTCTCTGGGCAATCCCGAGAAAGTGACTTCTGCAGTGGAATTAATTAAACTGTGTAAACATACTTGTTCAGCAGTTCTGCCAGATTTCATTTGGTGCCCCTAAACTCCTATTTCCATGTTATTTATGCTGGGTATGAGTGATCTGTCAGAGCAGAGAATTCTGTTTGGTCTCTTCCTGGTTGGAATTCCTTCTGTAGCTTTGGGTCTGTCCTTTCTCCTCCACAAATTTTCCCTGTTCCAGGCTATTACCACACCAAGTTTGGGTGCCCAGGGGATGCAGAGTGGCAGTTTCCTCCTCTCTGCTCTGAATTCTTCTCTTTTTATAATGTACTGGGACTAAGAGAACTCAGGCTGTGGTAACTTCAAATCCTCTTCCTGAAGGAAGAAGAATAGTCCTGAGAGCTATTGAAATACATAATATGTACATAAAATTGCTTTTCTGATTGTCATTAGTTTTGGAGTTCCAGGAGGCAAAAGATTATGGAGAGAATAAAGAACATTTCTCTCCCTGTGAGCAAGTTTCCTGCTGAGTCATACGATAAATACTTAATATCTGACACCCATCAGCTGCAAGGATTGAACACCGGGGCACATTTGGAGCAGAGTATTTTCTCTAAGTGGAAACTGGAGGAGTTCCTGTGTCTGCTGTAGGAGTGGAGAAGGGAATGGCAGTAAAAACTAATTAATCTGTAGAAATCACCTTTAAACCTGCGCTCAAGTGTCTGGTTTTAAACATGTTAAAGAGAGAAATTTAAATTCAAGTCAATTCTCCTTCAACTCAAAGCCACCGGAGCTGTGGTGGAGTCTCATGTCACAACTTCTGAGTTGGGAATGTCCTGAAAAAATCAAAGTTTTATCAAAACCTGCCTGTTCATCATTCCCTTCATGAGTGGATATAGTGGAACAGGAGGGATGGGGACTGTTAGAGGAGTGTTCCTGTGGGATCCTCTCCGGCTCACAGCTGATTGTTTGTTTACTCTCTGTGCTGTCAGCAGGCAGAAGGGCTGTGCCAGAGCCTCACCCACGCAGCTACAGCAGTGTCTCTTCCCGGCAGTCACCTAAAAACCCACCTGTTTGGCTTGTCACAGATCTGTGGTGCAACACCTCCTACTTGTGGAATGAGGGGACCCATTCCTAAATATTCCTGAACACAGGGAGCGGAAATGTGACGTTTTAGAACGAGTTCTTACAGCTCGTAAGGGGTGAGCCCTCCAGCCTGACTTTGCTGAGGGTGTTTGTAAACAGCTCCAGTGCTGTAATTTTTATCCAGCTCCATTATCCCAACATGAATCCAGATTATTATATGGAAAGCCAGGCGTGCAGGCCACCAGAACAGCAGTGAGCACAACCACACTTGCAGGAGTATTTTTAAGGCAGTGAGTATTAAAGTCACCGAGGAGAGGGGGATGCTGCACATCCTGCAGGATCTCCATCCCCACCCCAAAGTTTCACAGCCGGATTTGGGAGGGAGCAGCTGTGTCCCCCAGGCAGGAGCAGTGAGGAAGTCGTGGTCAGGGGAGAGGTGTCTCATCCATGTGTGTTCCACAGAGATGCCCAGGGCAGTGCCAGCTACCGCGATGCCGATCTCGGCACCGTGTCCGTCGTTTCCAGGTGTGCAGCCAGGTTCTCCCGGAAATCGTGGAGGAAATTGTACTGCTGGAAAAGCACAACCAGGTCTGCAGTGAGTGCTCTGTGCTGTCAGAAGAGGCACTGCCCCTCTTAAAAATTTGTTTGATACCCCAAGAGGAAAACTGCACCCTCTAGTCTGGTTTGTTGTGCTTAATCCAACCCTCTGGAATTTTTCACTGTCAGACACAGATTACATGGATCTTGGCTTGGATCCCATCAAGGGCAATGTGAGCCCAAGGTAATGCAAAACATGGTCCTCATAGGTGGGAGCTCAGTGTCAGAATTCAAAGCTGCTTTATTTTGCATCATGGAATGATTTAGGCTGGAAAAGCCCTCCAAGATCATCAAGTCCAATCATCCCCCAGCACTGCCAAGGCCCCCACTGACCCATGTCCCAAGTGCCACATCCACATGGCTTTTAAATCCCTCCAGGGATGGGGGACTCCACCACTGACTTGGGCAGCTGTGCCAGGGCTGGACAACCCTTTCCATGAGGAAATTTTCCTTAATATCCAACCTAAACCTCCCCTGGCACAACCTGAGGCCATTTCTTTTCATCCTGTCGCTTGTTCCCTGGGAGAAGCTGTTCAGCAGCTTCAGCAGGGAACAGCTCAAACCCCAGGGAGCAGCTGTGGAGCATGTTGGAAAGACAGAGGGATCCCTTTGGGAATGGCAGGAGGGGCCTGGCCGAGCTGTCCCTCATGTTTGGACACGTGTGTCACCTGCTGCAGCCCTGTTACCTTGATGGTCTGTATGGCCCCGGATCCCCTCAGGTTCCTGAGGCTCTCTATCACCTGCTGAGGTGCCAGAGTGTCCGAGAGCTGGAGCAGGAGACAGGCAGCCACTGCAAGGGAAAGGTGTGTGCACGTGGATGCACAGCCACAGGCTTGTTCCAGGAAAACCACCCCAGCAAAACTCCCCTCGGGGTCACACATCTGTTGGGTTTTTTTCCTGAATCCTATTTCTGGGCACTGGCCCATCTGCTGCTGCTCCTGCCCAAGCCCGCAGGCTTCGGAAACATTGTTTTTCCCTGCCTTCCTAGCAGCACTTGGGATGCAATTCCTAGGCTTTTCAAGAATGAGTGCCAGTACACCCAGTTAATTCCCCTTTGTGTCTTCTGGCAGCATCACCACCCCTTCCTTCTGGGTCACACACAGGAACTAATGCTTCTGGAACACTGGGATGAAGGAAGATGCAGAGGAACAAGTCCATCCCCTTTATAGTAAGACAAGTTCTTACCGAGACAGGAGCGCCCAAGGCCACCATAACAGCTGGGAGAGAAGGAAACATCTGGTTGTAAGAAGCTGTGGGAAACTGCAACACCCAGAGACCCCCCAGTGCATAAATACATGGACACAATTCTCACCTCAATATCATCAAGAGCAGCGGTGGCACAAGGAAGTCAACAAGAATTTCTGTGTATTTTATATATTCTATTTCTATACCTAGAGGGATATCTCCTATTTGTTCTTCAGAGCTTCCTTAAGTGTCTTTCCAGAGAAACTTCAGTTTTAAAGTTCCCCTTCATTCGTGGTAACAGTCCCGAAGACATGGGAGGACAGCAAATGGCACCAGGATGGACACCCTCAATTTTCTTTAGATCCTACTCCAGATTAAGGTTTTGAGGACAGCTGTGAGGACAGCAGGGTTCTGCACCAGCAGGAAATCCAAGGACTCAGGGAATGTCTGTGCAGGGAGCTGTCAGCTGGGTCATTCAGGGAACAGGGAAAGCTCTTCCCCCCTGAGCTCAGCTACAGGTGTCTAAATAAATTACTTTAAACCAGCTTCATGTGATTTAAGGGGGAATTTTGCACTGCTGGAACCCACTGAGTTCCTAATAAACAGCCCAGAGGCCTGTTATAGAATCATAGAGTGGTTTGGGTTGGAAGGGACCTTAAAGACCATTCCAACCCCTTGCCATGGGCAGGGACACCTTCCTTCCATTGGACCAGGTTGCTCCAAGCCCCGTCCAACCTGGCCTGGAACACTTCCAGGGATGGGGCAGCCACCACCTCTGACAAGAGCTGGTTTAGCTCACACCTCCTGCTGCACACCTGGTATCCAGGTAGGCTGGGAGCAGAGAGTCCTTCAACACACTCTGCTGGACAGAGCGAGGGGAAATGGGACACTCTAATCTTACAAAGGACAAGTTCTCTCCAAAAAGATGGAGAAGGAGGAACAAGCAGCTTTTCACAGCTTGAACTAACCCCAAAGACTGCAATTACCATTTCAAACCATTCTGTTTCACCTGCTTATACATCTAACCAGGACCTACTGTATCACTGTTTTCCGGTTATTTTCCAGGCAGCTTCTGAGCTCTTCGAGGATTTTGCAGCACGTGGCAATGTCAGGAGCGTTCCCATCAGGAATGGGATGGTGGTGCACACACATCCCGTGCTGTTGGTAGGTGTCTATCAGGTTTGGCACTCGGTATTTTAAGAGCTCTCCTCTGGTACAAAGCACAAATATGTCCTGGATCCCACAGTTCTTCAGTTCTCCTGCCAACGGATTAATACACTTGCAAATAAACAAAAGCCTATCAGGCTCAAGGATACACAGATAAGCTGCTTGGTACTGAGTCTCTTGTTTAATCTCTGAGGTTAAGACAACAGGAGTGAGAAATTTTGCTTTGAGCAGCATTTCCTTCCACTGGGTCTCTCCCATATTTGCCTTCAGATGATCCAGGTGAGGAGTTTTCTCAGTTCAGAGGGAGTCCTGAGAGAAGCCTCACTAGGAAGCACATCAGCTCTCAGGAGAGCATGTTAACTACTAAAGCATGTTAACTACTAAAGCATGTTTCTGTCCCATCTCCAGCTTAAAATCACTGAGTCCCAGAATGGTTTGGCTTGGAAGGGACCTGAAAGCTCATCTCATTCCACCCCCCTCCCATGGGCAGGGACACCTTCCACTATCCCAGGTTGCTCCAAGCCCTGTCCAGCCTGGCCTGGAACACTTCCAGGGATCCAGGGACAGCCACAGCTTCTCTGGGCAAACCTGTGCCAGAGCCTCACCAGCCTCACAGGCAGGAATTTCTTCCCCAGCTTCACTTGTCCAAACACTGTGGGGTTTGTGCTGTCAGTCTCTGCCCTTCTAGTGCTCACAGGTGAATACTCAGCACAAATCTTTAAATAATCCCATCTTTCTATCCCAACCTCACTTTCCTCTGGGAAGGGGATATCACCAGTTTGTAATTCATCTTGTCCCCAGCTACTTTAAAGATGCCTCATGGTTCCTGTGAAGGACACACAGGTGCCTGTGTAGCTCCAGCCTGGAAATACCCTGACTATTTATCCCATATTTGTAGGGAATCCACAGGGGAAGTGGCACTGGCACATCTAAAAGTGATCTGTGACTGTACCAAGATTTGCTGCAGCTGCATCTTTTTCTTGCCCTTTACACAAGCAAGAGGCACTTTACACACTGGCCAGAAGAACTCACCTACATCCTTCTGAAGATTCCTCCTGACATCCTTAAACCTGCAGCCTGAAACAAATTATGGACAACAATTCCCACTCCAGGTAAGTGACATTTATGGAATGGCTGCTGCAGCTGAAGAGCAGAGCACAGGCAACCTCCCCCCAAAACCAGAGCAAGCAACCAAGCCACACCCCAAGCAAAGCACAAGTTCTTATTTTTGCAAGTAGATCCCTGGCACAGAAGGCAGTTCAAGCACCATTATCTGCTTAATGCTCTAATGTAATAGGATTAACAGAAGAAATCTGCCCGAGGTTTTAAGCTGCTTTGGGTTTTCCAGATAAAAAGTTTTGGAAATTTTAAGTCAGGGTAAAGCATAAAAAGACACAAACAAAAAAAAAAATACAAGAAATAAAAGGGGTGGATAAAGATCAGTTAAGAGTTGACTGGTCTGGTGACCACAAGAGATTCACTATGGCTGCAGTTTTGGTAGTTAAAAATACAGTGGAAGGTTTTATGTTTATTCTATATATTGAAAACATGTCATCTTATGTTAAGATATTCTATGGATTTGCTTTGTTGTTTCCAAAACAGTGGTAGATTACAAAGTAAGTCACAGAGAATTTTGGGGTACAAGGTATTACCCCTCTTCAGCTCTCAAACATGCAAACTTCAGTGAATGCTTCTTACCTGGAAGGGAGCATAATCCCAGGAACTTGAAAGAGTAGAGAGGAGACAAAGACAACCTATCAGAAAATTAAAAATAAACATAAATCAGAAGGTGAGAGTTTGATTATTTAAATTTATAAGCATCTTGAGGTGTCAAGAGGATGGGACCAGACCCTTTCAGTGGTGCCTGGTGACAGGACAGGGGGCAACGGGCACAAACTGAATCACGGAGGCTCCGTCTGATTATAAAGAAAAACTTCTTGGAGGGTGACAAAACCATATAACTCCAGAAGGGTTTGGGTTGGAAGGGTGTGGTGGTGCAATCCCCCCTCCTCACCCCTGACTGTGATCTGAGTAATGCTTGTTAGGCCTTGGCCTTGACAATGCTCAGGCTGAGCTGCTCAGAGCTTGTCAGAAATCCTGCCTGTTCCCAGAGTTGTGTTGTGTGACGAGTCCCTTGCTTTTCTAATGAACTTCCCTGGAAACTTTTTGCCTGAATAACACTTTCAAAGTGTAAGAATGCAAAGTGTGGCTGAGGTGAAAGGTTATCACAACTGAAGCCCACTCTCTTGCAACCCTACAGTGTCCCAAAATGAGACCTGCTCAGCTCTCCTGGGCTGTGGCAACCAGAGACACCCCCCCTGAACTGGGACACCTCTCAGAGGTGGCAACTTTCATGTTTGGTATTTCCTGACTGACAAATCCTGGGCTGACATCTCACTCCTCCATCCCTCTCCCGTCGGGGAGAATGCAAAAACATTCCAAGTGAGTATTTCATGGAACTCAAGGGGAATTTTTCACAGGTACCTTGTGCAGACTCCTTGTGTCTGTGTGCATATGTTGCATCAAATGTGCCAGGGATGCTGCTTTCTTAAATTCTTAAGTGCTTTAGGTTTATAAGTAAGTGAATGTCATAGTATAGTAAATCATATATAGATCCAAGTTAAATTGTTAATAGGTTAAGAGTTAAGTCATAAGTTAAGTGCCGTTAGATTAAGTTAAGTCATAAGTTAAGTGTTAAGTTAATGGTATTAAGTGTTAAGTTAAGCTATAAGATATAAATTAAGTGTTGTCAGGCCTTTGGGCTGTATTCCTTTCTGTCCTCTTGCCTCACTTACCTACCCCTCCACAACCACAGCCTCCACAGACATGGAGTCTCTGGACTGGTACTGATAGTGAGTTTAGATTTTTGTGTGCTTTTTCTTGGTGTATTTTAACTGTTTAGTAAGTAGTAGAGTGAACCTTGCCACGAACTCTGTTGTGCCATTGCCTTTATATTAAACCTGCCTTCACTGGTGATTTTTTGAGCGGCCTTAAAACACTTGTTTCATGGCAAAGGGATTAAAACTCATCCCATTCCATCCCCTGCCATGGGCAGGGACACCTTCCACTAGCCCAGGTTGCTCCAAGCCCCGTCCAACCTGGCCTTGGACACTTCCAGGGATTCGGGGGCAGCCACAGCTTCTCTGGGCAACCTGTGCCAGGGCCTGGAACTGCCCAAGGAAGATCTGGAGCCTCCATCCCTGGAGACATCGAAAACCCACCTGGATGTGATCCTGCGCATCCTGCTCTGAATGAACCTGCCTGACCAGGGGGATCGGACTGGGTGGGTTCCAGAGGCCCCTTCCAACCCCAGCCACTTCCACTGACAGTTCCCCGGCACCGCTTTAATCCGTTTTCAGGGACATCACCATCCACCCACAACCCTGGCAGGTCACCAGAGCTCCTCTTTGTCAGAAGAGGGATTTAATGCAATTTCCCGAGGGAAAGGACCCCCGCGGGCGGCGCCTCACCAGGAGATGTGGAGCGGGCTCGGGTCCTCCTCGGCGGCCTCGTCGTCTGAGGAGGCGAAGCCGTCGGCGGGCGCCGCGCTGGGCTGCGGGGAGAGCGAAGGGCTCACCTGGGGGCCAGGACCCTCGGCTGTGCTCCGGCCCCGATCGCGATCGCGACCCCGATCCCGGTCCCGGACCCTCACCGGGTTCACCATGGCGCCGCCACCCGTTTGAACTGGCCCCGCCCACCTCCGCATCGCCCAATGGAAAGCTGCGGCTCACAGGGTGCGTGGAGAGCCAAGCGGGCCTCCCCCGCGGCCGCATGAGAGGAGCGCTCTGATTGGTGAGTGGGGGAGGAGGGCGGGCTTTAAGAGGCAAACAGCGCAGCCGGCTGTGGTGATCTTCGCTCTGATTGGCTGAGGCTGCTTGGCGGGAAGGGGCGGTCTCGCGCCGCGAGGGGCGGGGCTTCGTGAGGGCGCTGAGGGAGCGCGCGGGCGCGTCCCGCTGTCGTCGTTCCATCTTAGTCCCTGCTGGATGCGTTTGCACTGCTGTTCATGTTCCTGATCGCCATAAGGCTCTGGTACAGGTTGCCCAGAGAAGCTGTACCTGTCCCTGGATCCCTGGAAGTGTCCAAGGCCAGGTTGGACGGGGCTTGAAGCAACCTGGTCTAGGCAGGGGGTTGGAATGCGATGGCCTATGAGGTCCCTTCCAACCCAAACCATTCTGTGATTCCATGATAAAACACGGAGATGGATGTGAGCCTTCCGTCCTAGCACACAGCAGAGCAAGGATGTGCTTGAGCAGGTGCCCTGCAGAGTTTTGGGGTGATGGTTCTGTGTGCAGAAAACAGGACTTTCTAATGACGTAAAATGAGCAGTCCTTGCTCTCTTAAACCATGGGCTTAATGCCGAATGTTCTTTTCATGGTCCTGTTTCCTGTTATTCTGTGCAAATAAGTGTTAGGGCTATTGCACAGAGTTTTTACTGGACTTTAACTAACACGGAGTTTTTACCTGAATTTAACTAACGTGAAAGATGGTTCCGGGGTGCAAAAGAAGATTTTTTGGCTGCCTCCCTTGTAAGAACTGGGCTGCTGCTTGTGCTCGGGGCATTCAAATGGGTCTCTTTTTGCAGCATTTTTCTTTATTCCTTCAGTAGCTCTGGCTGTTAATTAATAGGGAGAAATGCATAAATTGGTAGTTCGGGATTTTGGTTTTTAAAATTACGTTAAGGCATTTCTGCCACCTGTGCTTAGACACACATAGAACTAAGTTGTGGAGGAGGGATTTTTGGCATCAGTTTAGACAATAATGTCACGGGGACTCCCAGGGATGTTGTTTGAAGTGAAAGGAATGGCTGGGCACAAGTGGTTTGAGTTTGGTGGGATTTCCCAGAAGGGCCAGTGCAAGATCTCCAGGTGTGGAGATTTTGGTTTTTAGTCCTACATTAGTAACTTCACTTCCACAGCTGGAGGTTTTAATGAAACCTGCCCGAGAAGGATTGTCAGAACAAATTGCTTGGAATTGGCAGGATTTAGGGTGGGTCCAGGGAATGAAAGAAACAGATGATGGGAGGATCAAGGAGAAGACCAGTTTATTAAAACCCAGAATATGATAGCAGAGGTACAAAAATTACATGACTGAACATAATGGAGAATTAAAACAATCCAGATGTTGCAGACCAAGATGAGCAATGGGAAGAAATACATCATAAGGATTGAGGCAACGTGAGGACAGCCAGTCACTGTGGCTGTAAACATCATTTTAATAACTCCTACAGCCACTGCATGAAGGAACAGGTATGCTGCTTGCTTTTATTTTTAGCTCTGGTGCCTTTAGAGATTATGTGCAACACTCAAACTCCTTGATAAAGATGTGAAATTTGCTGTATTTTTATTCCCTTGGGATTGATTTTGCCTCTTCAGGAGAAAGGTATTGCAGACTTAAACTCTGGGGGTCATACCTTTATGGAAGCAGCGACATCAGACTGATAAATAAATTAAATAACAGCAACAGTGGTAGTGCTGCTGGTTGTTCTTTGAAAAGATCAAAGGAGTTCTCTGGAGTTTGGGTGCCTTCATGTGGAGGAAATCATAATGATGTTGTGTGGAATCTGAAGTGGTGATAATGGCTGTGGCAGAAATAAATAGGGATCATTCCCCATGTAAGTGGGAAATCTAAACTAAGTGTAGGAAAAAATTTGGGAAAGAAAAAGAATCCAAAGTTGAGGAAGTCCTGTGAGTTTGCTTGTTACCCTTGGCATCTGGCAGAATTAAATGACAATGATTATTTCTTAAATTGAACTGTTGTCCAGCACATCAAATTGGGATTTGCTAAAGCTTGTTTGTGGTGTATTTTATAGGAAGGACTAACAGGAGTTAGTTTTCTGCCAAAAAGTGTCCTTCTGGCAAATCAAAAGGAAAGCACTGATGACACCAAGGCTTTACCTTCTGGAACTTTTTGTCACTTTCTAGATTGGATGCCTTGGAATGTGAGGAAAAATAGCCACAGATAAGGGCTGAAATATGTAGATTTAATTGGTGAAATCAAATTGGTGATTGAATCAGAATTTTACTTGAGCTTTTAGATAATTGGTTAGGGCAGAAACTGCTGTTTATGGATGTCTAATGGGAGGGTCTAAAAAAAATGGAGCCAGAGAGGTGTGCAACAGAAGGAGAAGAGATGATGGACAAGAGCTGGAATATGGGAAGTCTTTATTTCATATAAGAAAATAGAGTTTTGTTGTGAGTGTGGACAACAATAAGAAAATGAGTGGTAATTTTGTGCTTATGTGTAGCTGTTTGGGGTTATGAGTTTTTTTTGGTTGTCTTTCTTTTAAGAGATAATAATGGTTGTGTTACATGACACAAGACACTCATGCCTCTGATGCAACAATAAATACCCTCCCAGAAATATTAAAGATTATTTCCAGTGAGGAGGGGGTCAAACAGCAAGATTTTTCCGAGGAAAATTCCTGTGTCACAGATTTTAAATATGTGCACACAGAATGGGTTTGTGGCCTGGCAGCAAAATTTGTGAATAAAATGTGAGAAAATGGTGCGTGAAAATCCCGACAGGTCTGGTGGATTGGCAAGGAATGGTGCTCGAGTCCTGTGGGCTGCTTTGGGTCTGGAATTTAAGAAGGATATAAAGCTGTAAGTGCCCAAAGAAGGGCCCTCATCCCTGGGGACAGCAGAGGGCTGTGTGGATGTGTAGCATCATCTCTCTGCCATTCTGCACTCAGGTTTCACAGATAAAATAAATAATTGATTAAATTCAGGTAAAAGCTTGGAATGAACCAGTGTGTGTGTGTGTGGCAGAGACAGCTGGGGACTAGTGTGAAACAAGGAGTTGAGGAACTTGATGGTGTATCACAGATAAAGATAAACCTTGAAAAAACAAGCCATGTTCTCTTCCTGCAAGGAGCCAAAATCAGATCAGGAATGTCCAAACCAACAAAATAATTTTAAGAACGTTGGTAACTGATCACTCCAAACAACCACCTGTAATACCAAAAACTTGTGAGTCACCTCCCAGCTGATATCTCTGTTTCTGGGAGGTGTATTTTGGTAAGACTAATTAATACATGTGGTGTTCCAGGAGAGGCACTGTAATGGCTTTGGGAGCTCTCCACCAGTGATGTCACCACAAGATCCCACAGGGAATCATTTCACTTTTCCAGATTGTTTTTTTTTTTTTTATGGAGGGAGAAAATAATAGGTGGAAGAGAGTTTTCAAAATTTTCAAGAATCTTCTTTTTTTTTTCCTCCACTTTCAATTGTCTGTTTGTAGAAAGTGGAACCATTACATTATAAGCTTTACATTGCACCCCACAACGAGGATATGAATGGAAAATTCCTGTTATGTGAGATAAAACTGTGTCGTGTTTGGAGAAACACTTGTAACTCGAGGCACAAAATAAACTTTTTAGAATGGCAAGCACAACTTTGGGAGATTCTGTACATTTTCCACATCATTAGCTCTTCAGCCACGCTTGAGTTTCTGTTTGGAGTTTGTTCTAAAACTGTGCCAGAAAAACCACTGACAGAAATCTCTGTGAGCGGTGATTGCTCTGAGCCAAAGTGTTTGTGAGGTGTATTATTTCAGAGGAACAAGCAACTCCCCTCCTGCTCCAAATTGTTTGAGGGAACTTTATATACTTCGTGTGCATGTGGGTTTTTCTTGCTTTCCATCACAACCCAGATCCATTGCTGGTAGTTACAGACTTGGGTTTGTGGATAGTTTTGCCAGGAGAGCACTGTGGAGTTGGAGTTGCAAGACAGACAGAGGGACAGAAGCTCTGTCTAGCCCTATAAATCCTACTTGTTTGTTGAATTAAAACCAGAACCGAGTTTTGGCCCTAAAGCTGGTGATGGAAAAACAGTGTTTTTATGTAAATAAAGTGGGTTTTATTGACCAGTTTATAATGGTGACTGGCAATTGTTAGTGGAGATCTATGTTTCTAGGCAGGGTGCAGCCCTGCTGTTACTGAGACTGATGACATATCAGGATACATTGACTTGAAGTCTTCAATAAATCCCTGTTTATTTTGGGTTGAAATTTGAAACCTTTTATAGCTACAAAGAAGTTCTAGTGCTATCTGGACTCAAGAATTGTACTGTCTTGTGCAGCTGATTCAGAATGGTGAATGTTTCTTGTTTGCCCTTCTTTTATCACAGTTCTCCTATTTATATATATATTTTTTTTTCCTGTGTTAAATACACAAAAGTGGTAAAGCAAATCTCTGTGTTGGTACTTTTTGTTTTGTTTCCATGACTTGTTGCTTCTGCAGTGGTCTGTATGTGACCTTGAAGAATCTGTTTTAATGAAATAATTATTTAAAAGCAAATTTTTCCCCACCGCATGATTCCTTTTCTATTTCAGGCTAAAATTGCCTGCTGAATGGAAAAAAAACAGAACCCAAAACTAAAAATGTTTGTAACTTAGTTTTTAGCACGATGTGGCTTGATTATAACTTGACTGAGTCTTAATAGATACAAGTAATAATCAGTAATTCCAGTACCTGAAGGGAACCTACAAAAAAGATGGAGAAGGACTTTTTACAAGGGCCTGGAGTGACAGGACAAGGGGGAATGGCTTCCCACTGCCAGAGGATGGGGTGAGATGGGATATTAGGAAGGAATTCTTGACTGTGAGGGTGGTGAGGCCCTGGCACAGGTTGCCCAGAGAAGCTGTGGCTGCCCCTGGATCCCTGGAAGTGTTCCAGGCCAGGTTGGATGGGGCTTGGAGCAACCTGGGATAGCGGAAGGTGTCCCTGCCCATGGCAGGGGTTGGAACGGGATGAGCCTTAATGTCCCTTCCAACTCAAATCTCTCTCTTTCTGTGATCCTCACTAGTTTTCCTCTCTCCTGAGCAGTAGAGGGCGATCTTGTATTACAAATTTGGGCTTTACCCCCATCGGTGCCTTTCCTTTAGGAATTGTTGCCAAAAGAATGAAGGTTTTTATCTCTAGAAACAAGCAGGATCGGATGTCTGTATTATTCTGTGTAAATGTTATCTTTGTTAGAGATACTCGCAGTAACTATCAGGTTTTACACCACACGGCAACGTTTCTCTGTGTTAAGTGAGATTTACTGAAGTAAAACCATTATGATACTAATGGAGCAAATAATAGAATGCACCGTGCAAGAACACTGTAAAAGTCTGCTGTATTGAGTAATACTCAAGAATTGTTTTTAAATTAACATTTTTTCGACTTAGAATAAAAATGGTAATTATCATTTGGTTTAGTAAGTTACATGACAATTAGGGAAAGAATATTCTAAATGTGTTTTGTGTCTGGGAAGGGTCTGCCATTTATCTGTGCACATGGAGGTGCCTGACTGCAAACTGAGGTGCTGAACCAGGCTCTGTACTCAGGTGGGTAGTTCTGCTTACACAGACTGTTCTTGTGAGTGTGGACAGTTTGACTGACCAAAAGCTCAAAGGTTGATGCGTGAGTTACTCAGACACAAAGAATATGAAGCACGTGATTGGGGAGGGAGTTATTATTGTATTTTTTGATGGCAGAGTTTTTAAATGGTGGTTTTTAGCACATTATTTTGTATAAGTTTGTATCCCCAGCATCACCAGGAGCCTGCTGTGCTAAAGCGTTTGGCCCCTGTGAAGGAGAATGACTGAACTATTGCAGATGGCCTGGCTTGATAAACTTCTTTGTCAATTAATCTGCTGCAAATGCCCTCAGTCCTCCAAGTGGGTTTTCCTCTCACAACCCTGTGATAGTTCCCTGTGGCTCCAGGATGGAACAATCCTGGGCAGTAAAGAGATTGAGATAATGACAGTCCATGGTGACAGCAGGGCTGGCAGAGCCAGCCTGGGGCAAGAAAGACACATACTTGCCAATAGAAATACCTCCATCCTTTGGGAATTGTAGCTTGGGAATCAAAGCTGACCTCATAGACAAGAATGATGGAGAACAAGCTTTTGATTTATGACTGGATGAAGCTCAAAGTCTGCCCTTCTGATCCTTCTTTACAACACACCTTTTGTATTTTATATGAGCTCTTTCACTTTATTCTCCCAATGTTATCTCCTGGGGTATCGTTTTTAAGTCTTTCAGTGTTGTAATAGTTCACTCATCTCCTTCATAGTAGTTAGTGTTCTTTTTAAATGAAGCTAAAATCCCATTTTAATATCACAAACAAACTGTCATTTATATTTAACATGACTGATCAGCTGCTTTGCTTTTTGATTATTATTTTTTTTCTGGGTTTCATGAAAGCTAAACCCATATTTACCTTCTAGACCGCATCCAGGGAATCCCATTTGCATTCACTGG